GCGCCAAGTCAGCTCACCAGGATGAAGTTGGATTTGCAGTGAGCTGGGGGGCAGAAGGGACAGGCGCCGGCTGAGCGGGGGCGGGGAGGGGCCCAGAGCCCGCGGGGGCCGCGCCAGCCCACCTATGAACTCCGCCACCGGGTCGTGCTCGCCCTCCGCCTTGATGGTGCCCGCGATGCTGCCGTTCTCCAGGATGGGCAGGAAGAGCTGCACGAAGTCAGAGGTGTAGGGCGGGGCGATGACGTCCAGGACCTGCGGGGACGGCGGCCGTCAGGCCCCGTGCGGGGGTCGCCCGAGTCCCCGCGCAGCTGGTGGCCCGGGCGGGTCCCGGGCCGCGCGGCAGGGGCGTCTGTGCCGCCGCGTCCCCAAGAGCTCACAGGTGCCCCTCAGCTCAGGGGCAAAGGGCACAACCCCGGACACGTGCGAGCCCCCGGGCGCTGACCTCGGTCACGAAGTAGCGGATGAGGGAAATGTCAGTGTCCAGCTTCTCCAGACACTTCCGGATGTAGCTGACCACGGGCAGCACGTGCCCGCGACTCAGCAGGTGGACCATCCTGTCCAGCAGGGTCTTCTTCAGCTCCAGCTGCAAGAGCGAGGCGGGCGGCCGTCACCGGGGCCTGGCGCCACGCCGCCCCGCAGCCCGGGCCTCACCTGCTCCATCACGTCCAGCTGAGAGTGCTCGGTCTCGAACAGCTTCACGAGCAGCTGCAGGACTTGGGGGTGCAAGAGCTGGTGGCAGGTGCTGATCTGCGAACGGCCGCAGGGACCCCGCTGAGCACGGGGTGGGGCTCCCCGCGGCGCAGGAGCCCGCCCCACGGCCGCAGCACCCCCAGACAGCTCATCTGCGGCGTCCACGTCCCGCGCCTGGCCCAGGCCGGCTCAGCCCTTCTCAGCCCCCGGGGACTCTCGCCCACACTGAGGGTCTGCGAAGCGCGTCCGTGAAATGGACCCGCTGCAGGCAGGCTGGACGGCGCCCGGGAGCGCCTCGAGGGCTCCTGACGGCCCAGCCGGCACCACCGGAAGGGCTGCCCGCGCTAGGGGGGCGCGACCACGGGCCACCCGCTGGCGCAGCCTCCGCAACAGTGTGGCGACGCCTTCAGCACCGAAGCATGCGCACCGACGCAGCCCAGGCTCCCCACACAAGGCTGGGCTCGAGCAGGGGAGAGCGACCTGCCTGCCCAGCGGGCCTGCACGGCCCGGCGCCACGACGTGGGCTCCCCCAAGTGCCGTGGACGACGCTGAGCGAGGAGGGCGTGCTCCTGGCGGACCCTGGCCCGCTGTCCGTGGAGACCTCGCCCTCACGACGGCACGCTGAGACCCACGGGGCCCTTAGTGAGGAGGTGGCTGGGGAGGGTCACCGGGACTCGGGAGCACCAAGAACAAGCTCACGCTGACTCCGGAAGCCGCGGGGGAAGCAGGGAGGGAAGATGCAGGCACGGAGGCAGAGCCCGGCTGCATGGGGGGTGCCAGGGTGCCCGCACACACAGGGGGTCCAGTTTACACCTGAAATGCTGGTTTGGGGACCAGTGGTGACCCGTACAATCCAGACATCTGCATTAGAAAGCGTCTCCGGCCCTCCCGGCCCACAAGCGCTGCCCGTGGGTCCCCCAGGGTGCCGCAGCTGCCGCGCCACCTACCTCGTCCAGAAGGGCCAGGTGCACCGGGGTGTGGTCAGTCTGTAGCTGGAAGTACCTGGGCTCGGACACCGTCCAGTCCACCCACTTCAGCACGCCCATGGCCACCACCGGAAACCTACAGGGGACGAGCCGGGGGCCCAGGCGAGGCGAGGCTCACGCGGGAACTGCCGGGGAAGCACCGTCTCCGCCCGCCCGGTCCGCAGTGTCTCTGTCTCCGCTGTCACCCCGAGGACCGGCTCTCCTCTCCCCGTGAACCCCGCCTCATCAGCGCCCACTGGTTCCGGGGCACATTTTGCCTTCCTGAGCCGTCCGCTACGTCGGTGGCCAGTGTCAGTGGGGACAGGCGGCCCGTGCGGCCCAGGCCTGCGGGCGCCCGGCC